TCGTTCTGCAAATGCCAAATGAGCTGCTTAGAAAAGTTTAGAGAACTTGCTAAAAAAACAAAGCTCAAGGCTTTAGACTGAAAATAAAATGGACGGCAGCAGGTGGGGGGGCTTTACAGCTCAAAGGTTTAATAAGTACCAGATCGGTAAGTGTGTGTGCATTCGGTGTGTGTGTGTCTAATGTGTTAGTGTGCATCCAAAACAGGGTATTTTCTCTGGATGTGTGTGTGTGTGGTGTGTGTGTTGGTGGTGTGTGTGTGTAGTGTGTGGTGTGTTGTGTGTGTGTGTGTGTGTGTGTGTGTGTGTGTGTGGGTGTGGTTGTGTGAGGTGTGTGTGTGTGTGGGTGTGTGTGTTGTGTTGTGTTGTGTGTGGGGTGTGTGTGTGTGTGTGTGTGTGTGTGTGTGTGTGTGTGTGTGTGTGTGTGTGTGTGTGTGTGTGTGTGTGTGTGTGTGTGTGTGTGTGTGTGTTTTCTGTATGTGTTTCGTTTCTCTGAAAAGGCGTATTTGTCTTTCTATACCTCAGGCGTGTCTGCTGCAGTGTGGTGTGTGTGTGTGTGTTTCTGTATGCAGGTGTGTTTATAGTGTGTGTGTGTGTGTGTGTGTGTGTGTGTGTACACAGCAGGCCTGCCGTGCTGAGTCTCCCTGTTATTTGAATGCAGTCAGAGCTTGTTTCTCCTCGTGAAGATCTTCTTCTTCAGGTGAAGAGGGAGCAGGAGGAGCGTGCTCAGATTTCAAAAGCTGACATTTTAAATGGCCTTAAATGGAGCTCATTCCACCGGTTTCTAATCAAACAAAAAGCCAAGAAATATATTAGTTTAATTGCAATTAAGATAAAATCCAACCCTTATGTTCTTACTTTAACAGGCCACTGTATACATCCATTAAACTCCCTGTAGGTACTGTAATTGTCTTCCATTAAACACCAGTTTGTTGTTTTATTTAAATGTAATCTACTAAAGTCAATATCCATACAGATCAACCACACTGACAGAAGCAGAAAGATGAGTTACATTTTGTATTCTCAGTGTGTTATGGCATATTAAAAATGCAGAGCGCATGGCCATCCTCATAAAACCTTGGCCGTGCTTCTGTTTTTAAAGTATTTGAGAGAAGAGACATTTCTTTTTTATTCTAAAGCATACAGCTCAACTCCAAAGAGACACAGCATGCTGTTTCTCCCACGTTTTGTGAACCGTCTCAGTGTGATCGAGTCCTGAGGCCAAAGATTTAGAAAACCAAATATGCTATAACCCATGTAGCATAATACCACCTCCGACTGTTGGTCAGGGGAATATTGTAAAAACATCGGCAGGACTTTGATAGTTTATAAGGCACGGCACGTTTATTCATACAGCACATTTCTACAATTTACATTACATGTTACTTGTTAGACGCTTTTATCCAAATCGACTTACATACTCAATACTGTGGACAATCCCCACAGGAGCAATTTGGGGTGAAGTGTCTCAGGGACATAACGACATGCTGACTGCAGTGGGGTTTGAACCTGTGACCCCCTGATCCCAACACCAAGGCTCTATCCACTGCGCCACAAGCCTCAATGTACAGGGTTATAGGTAGTTGTCGCCCTTTTGCACCTGCCGGTCACCGTAGTGTTCCATCCATCCATCTTCTCCCGCTTATCCGTGGTCGGGTCGCGGAGGTAGCAGTTCCAGCAGAGAGCCCCAAACGTTCCTTTCCCTGGCCACATCAACCAGCTCTGACTGGGGGACCCCAAGGCGCTCCCAGGCCAGCGAAGATATATAATCCCTCCACCTGGTCCTAGGTCTACCCCTCGGTCTCCTCCCAGCTCCGAGTCCCTCCCGGATGACTGAACTTCTCACCTTATCCCTAAGGGAGACGCCAGCCACCCTGCGGAGAAAACCCATCTCGGCCGCTTGTGTCCGCGATCTCGTTCTTTCAGTCATGAAGGGTTTACCGTAGTGTTGTCTTTCAAAAGTAAAGGAAAAAATGCTCAATATATCATGATAATAATAATAAGAGTTCCTTTTCCTCTCGTCTGTTTATGTTTTTGTCTGAAATTTCAGTTTTCCTCATCTCTGTCCCAGGGTTTTTTTTCTACAATCTGTTTCTTAGCCCTTTTCCTGTTAGCTTCCATTAAAAAGTGACACTTTCTCCACCGTTTTGCAAATCCAAAGCTGATTTTGAGACCCACACACACACACACACGCACACGCACACGCACACGCACACACACACACACACACACAGGGCCTCTCACCATTATGCGTGGCTAATGATGGAGAAAATGTAAATGTCAGGAGGGAGAGACCTTCAAAAAGCCTTTTAGCGGCACCGTGAATCTCTGCTCTGGAGAGGATGAAACATACGAACTGTCAGTGGAGATCAGGTAGTGGAGGAGACACCTGCACACACACACACACACACACACGCACACGCACACGCACACGCGCACACACACACACACACACACACACACACACACACACACACACACACACACACACACTCCTCACTACATGTATTACACGCCTAACAGGGTTTCATCATCACACACACTTCCCAGAATGATTGACAGCTCAGAGGTAAACCCAGCAAAGAGCAAAGAGCATTGGATATGGATTTATGTCAAGTGATGGGAATTCCTTCACATACATATG